GCAGGAACAGCTCGATTTGGGGCATGTATAAATTAGGAATTGTGTAGTACTTAATGGAAAAATAACAGGTGGTTTTATTTGCCTAGCCAATAGACAAATTTGGCACTCAGAACTGTAAGTATTTACAGCCACACGCCTACGGGAGAACCGTTTCTGCAGAGGCCTGATAGAGTATGGGGCATTTCGAAGAACCTTTCTACAATTCCACTCCATACCTATTCTATAAATACTGCTAGGTTTTCCTGGGTCACTTTGGTAAGCACTGTATGGTACTACGCTGAGAGCTCACGGGGCCCCAGGGGCCTGGGATACCCCAGAATGCAGGACTCACTACCCAGCGAAGAGGTCAATTTGCTCATGAGGATAGGCGGCAGGCACAACTTACTGCAGTTTAACATGGAGAAACCACAGGCCCCTGGGCAACACACTTGGTTTGAGGTGGGCCCTGGAGACTCTTCTGGGAAGTCTTCCAAGAAGTATGAGAAGTTCACGTCCTCTCTGAAGAATGTCAGCTATCCCTAGGGAGTCATGAGCAAACCCCAGGCCCAAGAGAAAACTTCTTGGGGATCCGGAGACTTTGAGGAGTTTCAGAACTTGGCCTTCCCAGAGTTCCCTAGATCGAAGAGAACTAGACACTGTCCGTCCTCTCCTTTATGCGCTCAGGGTGCCCACAGGCACACCCTGAACCCCAGAAGCGGACCCGGGAGAGTTCAGCAACACACCCACAGTCCCACTAGAGTGTGTGGCAAGGATGGAATTCAAATTCACACCTCCAAACCCCAAAACCTCACTGCAGTCCACAACAAGCACCACGAGGACATTTTGGAGTCATGATGCAAGTAACATGATGCTTCAGTTCCTGAGGCCTGCTTCCCTGAGCCTCTGGTTCTTTATCTGCCAAGAGGTCTGGCAACACCCAACCATTGGTGGTCAGTGCTGAGTGAGACAGCATGCATCACACCCTGGGCATCAAGCCCCCAGCATTGTTTCCAGAGCACAGAAGACTTGCAGCGCATGACAGCCATTATTTGTATTTTTGGAGAGTAGAAACAAGTGACTGGGTCAGTTGAAGAGTGCACATTGGTTTCTGTAACTCAGTACAGAGGAGAATCAATGCTCTTTGGGAAAGATGTGCTCTATGTTGGCACCCCATCCCACTCAGCCTTGATTAACCTGTGGACCAATCGAGCAACTGTAAGAGTGATGTTCAGGAATGGTTGTAAGATCCTGGATGTGACGCATTCAAGACTGTTTTGAATCATGGAGCAACTCACGGAGTTGCAGACACACATAAACAGGAAAGAACCAGCAAGGAACACACAGCCACCTTCCGTGACCAGCAAGAACATCTCTAGCACCAGCCAGTGTGCGGTGGGTGGCTCTGCTGTGTGCTGAGGACTGTGTCAGCTCTCCGGAAGGCTCTTCCGGTGCCAGGCACTCACTTGGATGGTCCATGGGCATCTGTAGAACTCAGGCATGCCTGTGATGACAGGGAAAGCCCATCCTAGAGCAACCAGGCTGGCAGAGGACAGGAACATGGCTAAGAAGCTTTCAGTTGTAACAGCTGCTTCCACACTTGACCTTTCTTCTGAAGCACAGTTATATTTATTAGAAAAGCTTTGGCAAATAAAATTTTACAAAAATTGCAGCATTTGATGTTAAACTCCAACAGGAGCCATTTTCCTCAGAATGTGACCAGACCTTCTGAGGGAGCACACCATTTTGCCAAGTAGAGAATACTAGAAAGATGTGATTCTTCCCAACATCAAAAAATGTTTTAAAAGGCTGGGCACAGTGGCTCATGCCTATAATCCTGGCACTTTGGCTCATGCCTGTAATCCCAGCAAGGCAGGAGGATTCCTTGGGGCTAGGTGTTCAAGACCAGCCTGAACAATATAGCAAGACCCCACCCTGTCTCTACAAAACAGTTTTAAAAAATTATCTGAGCTTGATGGTGTGTGCCTGTAGTCCCAGCTACTTGGGAGGCTGATGCCGGAGGGTCACTTGAGCCTGGAAGTTCAAGACTGCAGTGAGCTATATTTGTACCGCTGTACTCCAACCTGATGAGAGTGAGACTCTTTCTCAGAAAAAAAAGTGAGGGATCCCCCCTCATTTGCTCTGGTCCCCCCTACATCTATGTTGCTGTTGGAGTCTGTAGAAAGAAATATCAGGAAAATGTTTTGCAATTTCAAAGAGTACCTGTGGCCAAATGCTGCACCATTCAAAGATAGATAACGTTGTATAAAGTGGGTCAGTAGATCCAGACAGTAGTTTTCTCATTTAGAGTGTTCTATAAACCAGAATTTTGGAATTCATTTTAAAATTAGGGAGTATGGGGACCAGTGAAAGGTTGACAATATCTTATGTTGCCAAATAAGAGCAATAAAACAATCCTACCATCTAGCATCATCCGTTTTCTGCAAAAGAAAGGACTTTTTCCACAAAAAAGAGAGACGAGCATAGACTAAAAATAAACCAGCCTCCCTTCTAGGTGAGGTTTGTGGGTAACCTTAACCCTATGACATATTCCGGATAAGGAGCGGCCTTTCTTGCGCTCTCCCAGGATAGACGACTGGACTGCGTCTTTCCACGCCCCTTGCGTTCAGCTGGGGCTGTGTGATGAGTTCTCGCCAATGGAGTGCAGAGTCGATGCATGTCACCTCTGGGCCAGGTGTCTGGGTGCAGGTGTGTCTCTTCTACCCTCCCTTCCCAGGTCCCAGAAGATGGCAGACCCTGAATGGAGGGAGCTCGGGTCCGGTGACCAGTGGAGGAGGCCTCGCAATCATGGACTGTGACAAGATTATGAATAAGCCTTTCTTTTACTACTGAGCTTTGAGGGCTGTGTGTCAGGGTGCATTGCTGTTTAGCTTAGTTAGCACACACCAATTCATAAATAAATGCATCTATACCTTTCTTTATGATTGTATTATATTATACAATATTGCATGTGTTAGTTTTTCTCACTGCTCTGTGAACCAGTGAAGGGGTGATCACGGACACATTTGGGAACCACCTGGATTTAGAAGTTCAGAATCCAGAAGAGTAGAAGTTAGTGGAGTCGTGCCACCAACAATCATACCTGGCTTTGTTTATCTGTATGATTTTTAAGGACACTAGCGTATAATTGACTATCTACTCCAAACTGAAAGGCCCATTTTTAGGGACTGTCGGGCAATCACGTATTAATTGATGTAGAAGCATCATTTCTGCTTGGTTTATACCCAACCGTCTCATTGGATTGTAGTCTGTTAGCATCCTGCTGGTTACTGAAGGCCTAGTGTACTTTCTGGTTCAAGCGTAATACTTCAAGAAAATTGTCAAGTGGTCCTTGGAAGAGTCACACAAAAAATGAGTGAACCGGAATGTAACATGATGAAGATCTGGACAGGAAGAAAGATACCTAGGAAAACAGCTCCTAGGTAACACATAGAGGCAGAGACAGATCAACAGCGACACCAGTTAAAACATGAAAACTCCCAACTTGCTTCAAACCAAAAGTCAGTTTTAAAAGGAGTCTGAGGGCCAAAGTCTTATAGTACCTGAATGTCAATCTTTAGTTCAACTCCGAAGGTAGCAGCAAGAGTTTGATGGTCACGTGTCTTGACTAACAAGTTAATGAACCAACACATAATAGCAGCATTTTCAGTTTTTCATATTACTTTTCAGAAATGTGACCAAAGACACACTGTCAAATCAGTCTGAAATTAGTCTCTTTTCTTAGTGTGATCTTACACCATCCAACATCTAAAAAGTCCCCAGTACCTTCAAGGAGACAGATGCTAACAAGGGCCCCAAGAGCAAGTTTACACCACACACACACACGCACACACGCACACACACATGCACTGTTAGTCTTCTTACCTTAAAAGTGGCACCTAATTTTTTGACCAAAGACTGCCACCAACCAATCTAATGACAGTAGGAACCGCCAGTGATTCATCTGATAATCTCCCCAAGTGGGACCATGCCTGGACGTGGCACGCGCTCAATATTTCTTCACTGACTTGTCCATTGACTGAATGACCCCTTCACTTTTGAGACTGGTCTGAAGGGCTTGCCTTCTAAGACATGAAGTCGATGTTGTGAGGTGGCTTTTTTATTTGTCAGCAAAAAACGTAGCAGCTAAGGGTCTTTTTTCTTCATGCCACAGAAGTTTTGCAGAGTCTTGGGAGTGTTTTGAGGATAAATAAGAGAATGTATAGATAGCTTGATACATGGTATAGTTACTTATAATTGTTATTTGAGGAGATATACATAGCCTGTGAAGATAACTTCACAGTTTCCAAAAATGCTTGAATTCATGAAATTTAATTGGAGTATGTTTTTTGTCTTCACAAAGTAGACAGCTCTCAGTTGTTACATCAGTCTTGGAATGCCACTTAAAAACTCAGTCACACTCTTACAACTTGAGGGATTAAGAAAACAGGTGACAATTTGAAAAAGACCTTAACAATTTCCAGCTTTTTCTTTACCATTCACAAAGCACAGGAATGCTATTGAGACCCAAATGGTTGGGAGGTGGAGATTTAAAATGGAAAGTGCCATGGCAGCATCTGAAGTTTCTTTTGGATTAGGCTTTGATTAAATAATGGAAAATATTTTCGCAATGGAAATCCTTGTCAGTAAGCCAAGCACCTTTGTTGGCTGGGATTCCTCTTGGGAGGGTGAAGCTGCCTCCCTGGCTCCAGGTGCCATAGCTCCTTAGGGCCCGCCATCCCATCTGCGGCGGATTGTCTCAGTGTGAACCCTCCTGAGCCCTGTGTCTCTAGGAATTAATTTTTACAAAATAGATCAGTGTAGGCAAAACCTGCCCTGAAACAGTTAAGTACCTAAGGTCTTCCTATTTGACCTCTAATTGCAAGAGTACAATATTTTGTACATTTCTACAAAATATGTTTATTTGTAGAAAAATTGGAAAATACAGAAAAGCATAAAGATAAGATAACAGTCACCCATAATCATACCTGATTTTTTTTGTTCTTTTCTTTTTTTTTTAAGGACTTCCTTTGCTTTTGGAAAACAGCTGAGAAAAAAAAATTCTTTTTAGAAATACAGAAAAAAATTGTTTTTATCCTATAGCTAATATGCCCTCCCTAGGCATTAAGACACATTTCTATTTGTATCCTTAATACAGCCATATTTTTACTCTTTATAAAAATCAAGTCTCCCAGTAAAAACTGAGTATTTCACTTCACTAATCTTCAAATTGCATCACTAAAAATGTTGTTATACACACCAATTTCTAACCTAGAATCTGCACAATAGATTTTAATCACTGGAATGAGTAAATTGCTCAGAAAAGCAGTACGGCCTGAATTGCAGTACGATTTGGTAGTCAATATTCCTGTTTTCCAGGAAAAAGGGGATTTCATGAGTAGAAACACTGGGCTCCTTGTGGTTTCATCAATCAAGAGAACGTTTCTGAGCAGCTTCTGAGCAAACATTTCTTAACAGGTTGATCACAGATCTAGGGTCTTCACTCATAATGACACTACCAGACACAATCACATTAGTTCCTGCCTCTGCACACTTATGGACAGTGTCAGAACCTATGCCACCATTGACCTCTATATCCAGAGATGGGAACTGGGTTCTCAACCAGTGAAACTTTGGCATCATATCTTTCACGAATTTCTGCCTTCCAAACCCAAGTTCCACTGTCATACCCAAGGCCATGTCTATTTGATTAGCCCATGGTGCCAAATACTCAACTGTGGTTCCTGGTTTGATGGCAAGGCCAACCTTCATCCCATTCTCCCAAATGTCTTTAATCAAAGCTTCTGGGTTCTCAGTAGCCTTGAGATGAAAGGTATACTGATTGGCTCCTGCTATAGCCATTGGCTTTACCCACTGCTCCGGCCTGAACACCGTCATGTGCATGTCGAAGAAAGGGTCCTGGCCTAGCTACTTTCGAAGGCTTTCTACCACAGGGTGACCAAAGGTGATGTTGGGAACAAAATGCCTGTCCATTACATCCAGGTGCAGATAATCGTCCCTAGAGTCTAGCATCTGGAGGCACTCGGCCCCTAAGTTGGCCAGGTCGCTGTTGAGGATGGACGGGCGGATCTTGCAGCCCGACGCTGTAGCGCTGGTGCCTAAGAGCGAGTTATCCCACGAGTCCGATTTTTTTTTTTCTTATCGGTGTCTGACTCTGTTACCCAGGCTGGAGTGCAGTGGCACAGTCATGTCTTACTGTACCCTCGAATTCCTGGGCTCAAGTGATCCTCCTGTCTCAGCCCCTCAAGTAGGTGGGACCTCAGGCATACATCACGGTGCCCAACTAATTTTTCTATTTCTTGTAGAGACAGGATCTTGCTTTGTTGCTCAGGCTGGTCTTGAACTCCTGGGCTTAAGCGATCTTCCTGCCTTGGTTTGCCAAAGTGCTGGAATTACAGGCAATGAACCACCGTGCCTGGTCCGTACCTGATATTTGAGCCCACCTGAGCTTTTTTCCTGTGGACATACATACATTTATACACATATAATTATATGTTACTATGTGTCATATATGTAATATGCACATTTACAGGGCTCATATTTACGGACTGCTGGGAACTGGTTTTTTGACTTAGCACATCCTGAGCATTTCTCCTACAGCTGACATTCTTCTCCAGGATGACTGTAAGTGGCTGTGGATTGCCCAGGGCCGCTGGTTTTGCGGAGGTCTGGCCACAGGGTCAGGAAGCCCTTCCCTGGGCTCTGGATCACATGTCCTTGCCTGCCCTGTGATCCAGGGGAGCACATGCTGTGGGGACGGCATCCTGGGGAGGTGTCACAACCTCTGACCCTCCTGTGCCATCCCGTGAGGGCAACTGAATCAGCAATCTACCTGTCATGCCCGAGGACTTCCACAGCCTCAAGCTACTCCTCTGAGGGTGGCAGCGAGAATGCTTTTGGTGGGGGCACCTGCACGTAAAGGAAATCAGCCTGGCCCAGGAGTCAGCCCCATGGCTGGCGTCAGGCTGGCAGGACGTGAGTCCCTGGCCCAAGGTCCACCAGCTGTGGGAGTGGCAAAGTTCCTGCCCTCTCAGCTGAGGTAGGGGAATGAGAACAGCGCCTGCTGCATAGAGCTGATACAAGAATCAAGTGAGAAATCCATGCAAGACACCCGGCACAGAGCCTCGCAGAGAGTGGGAGCTCAGTCAATGCTGGCCGTCGTCTGTTTCTTCTGGTTTCTGTGAGGACACAGGTAGAGTGAGGTACAGAGAGGAACCCCAAGGAGAAGCTGGGTCCAGGGAGCCTGCTGGTTTGGGTGGGAGGGGCTGTGTGAGGGGAAGTGTTACGTGTAAATCCGGTCAGGCCACGGCACCAGGCATTCCCTCAGACTCAGTCTAAATGTCACTGTGAAGGTACCTTTAATTAATATTTAAACCATTATGCTTTGGCCAGGCGTAGTGGCTCACGCCTGTCATCCCAGCATTTTGGGAGCCAAGGCAGGAGAATTGGTTGAGCCTAGGAGCTTGAGACCAGCCTGGGCAACACAGCAAGATCCTGTCTCTACAAAAAATTAAAAAATTATCTGGGTGTGATGGCATGTGCCTGTAGTCCCAGCTACTTGGGAGGCTGAGGTGGAAGGATTGATTGCCTGAGCCTAGGAGGTCGAGGCTGCTATGAGCCGGGATTGTCATGATCTTGCCATGGCTCTCCAGCCTGGGCAACAAAGTGAGACCCCACTCAAAAAAATTAAGATTAAAATTTTAAAAAAGATTAGACTTTGAGAAAAGTAGATTACCCTCTGTGATGTGTGTGGGCCTCATCACGAAGGCCTTAAGAGTAAAAAAAGGCCCCAGAGAGAAATGCATTCAGCTCACAGACCAGCTTTAGACTTGAGCGGCGGTGCCAGCTCCCCCGGTCTCCAGCCTGGCTGCCTGTGCTGCAGGATGTGGCCTTGCCCACCCCACAGTCACATGGGCGGCTCCTCTCTCCCCGCCTCTCTGTCTCTCCGTCTCTCTCTCTCTCTGTCTCTCTCTGTATATCTCTCTCTCTCCCCGCCCATAGATACATTATCTTTTTCTATTGATTCCATTTCTCTAGAGAACCCCAATACAGGCTGTTAGGTAAAGTGCAGGAAAACAATAGAGAAAGGAAAAGTGGAGAAGCCGGAAGACGTGGAGGAGGGAAGAGAAAAGGGTTATCGGACATATTCAGAGCAGGAGCCACGTCCTATTTATCTTGGCAAGCTGTACACAGTGGTGTAAGGGGAAGGAAAGAAAGAAGGAAGGGAGGGAGGGAGGAAGGAAGGAAGGAAGGAAGAGGGGGAGGGCAGGAACGGGAGTAAAAGGGATAAAAGGAATTCCCAGGGAAGGTTGGAGACAAGGCTCTGCTCAAGCTGTCATTTTCTCTGTTTACTCCTTGAAACAATGCTGGAACATTCCTTTTCAGCGTATTTTGTTTGTTTGCTTGTTTGTTTACTCATTTATTTTAGTCAGAGTTGCACCCTGCCGCCCAGGCTATTTTTTTGTTGTTTTTTGTTTTTGTAGAGAGAAGGTCTTGCTATGTTGCCCCCCTACACCCACCTTTCAGCACACTTTCAAATCAGGCAACAGGCACAGCTCCCCCGCCCTTCTCCCCCAAGCCTTTGCTTCATCAGACGCCTCGCTCAGCCATTTCACTTGGTGGTCTGGCCAACAATATCTTCTTTTAAAACAAGGAATTTAATCTGGAATCTGACTTGGCACAGCTGTAATGCCCTGCTTTGATTATGGACTTGTGGAGAGATGGAACTCTGAAGATGAGGACCCAGATTGCTGGGTAATTCCACTCTGACCACCAGAATTCCCTCCTGTGGTTTCAGCTGGATACGTGCCTCCTTGCTTTCTGTCACTCACAAAGCAGCCACTTTCTGGCTCAGGGCACTGGGGTTGTGTCCCTAGGAAAATGGCCCACCTGGGACAATCCCTGGAATGAGAGTAGAGCAGAAGGTGATGGGTTTTCAAGGTATTCTATTAGCTCTGTCCATCCTCAGGACTCAAGAGGGAGTTTTCTCTTGTATGTTAAATTGCAAGGGTCTGGAGAGTCTTTGATGCTCAATGAGTTTCCCCCACCGTTGGGTCAGAAAGCCCATCTTTTAGCTGAGACTTGACCTGTATTGAAGTAATGTGCCACTCTGAATAAAAGAGCACTTTAAGTGCAACACAGGCATGGCTTTCCATGACAGAGAGAGAGAGAGAGAGAGAGAGAGAGAGGAAAACATCTGAAAACAAAATTTGGCCTGGGGCCGTTCTCATTGACCACCCCCTTACTCGTTCAAGGATTGACTGAGAGTTGACCATCTGTAAGGCGCTCCAGGGTGTGTCATCAGGGCAAAGGGTGAAGGCACAAAACTATAAAAGGAACTTTATTTATGTATTTATTTATTTTATTTTTAAATTATTATAAAGATGCGGGGTACAATTCAGGGCTAGGTATACAAACGTTGACCATGCAGGTACCTTTGTTGGTGAAGTATGCCCCTCCCTCCCCTAGTAGTTTCCCTCAACTGCCAGTCCACCCCCTCCACAGTTTCCCACTAAGGATTCCCAGTTTACCAATTCCGTAAAAGGAACTTTAAACCCACCTTTCACGTGGACAGATGAAGTTCTGGCAATTTCCCCAAATTACTTCCAAACTAGCCAGCCCTGGGAAATGAGCGGCACCGGTTTTTGTTTTCTTCTCCCCCATGTTTCATTCCTCGTTTCCTGGACACCGTGGACCTGCCGCCTTGGTGGTGCTATCGAATGCCTGCCTAGAACCCACACTGGATGCTGACTTCTGCGCCAATCAAAACTTACCTGGCCTGACCTTCTCACTCTGGTGTCACTGAGGAGAGGAGAGGAGCCGCGGTAAGCATTCCTTTCCGGAGATTTAGTTGGCAATCTGGAGTCCCACCCCACACACCCCACCCCGCCCCCGTCGTGCAGTTGCCTCAGACCTTGGGAGGACTGGGCTGACCCACCCAGGTGCCTGCTGAAAACCGAGGGCTCAGGGAGCCAACTGATTTTAGTTCAGTTTAATAGTACTCCCAGGTGGGAAAATTTTTCTTTTTTTTCCTATGGAATGATGGTCCACAGGACAGTAGCCTGGAAAATGCTAAGAAAAAGTCAAGAAAATGAAATGGAAACAGTGGGATTGCAGAGGATTCCAAATAGCAGACGGGGGCGGGGAAAAAAGTGAACTGGGGAGGGCTGGCTTAGAGGAGAGGGGGGAGTTCCCAGCCAATCACTCAGGATCCAGGGCCACACAGAGGGTTGCTGGAGACAGATGACATCCTTCTCGTCTCCCTCCCCGGTGGGTCCTTCCCAGTCCTGTGGCAACTTCCTCTGTCCACTTCTCATGCAGAGAGCATTCCACGAAGAAGACCTTGCTCTGCCCACCTTGCTGTCCACTTAGACCCTGTCTGCAGTGTCTCCTCCCTAGCACCAACTGCGGTTCCACCTTTGCCTGGGAGGGGCAGGGGCAGCGTTTCCCTGATTGGCAGCTCTGCTCTGGCCCTTCAGGATGTCGCCATAGGTCGTCTAAGGAACAAGACTACACTTTGTTGCAAAGACCAGTAAGAACCCTAGCTTCATTTAACATATATCCACACTTAACTGTTTAGAAAAAAGAAATGATGAATACAAACCCACACTGTATTTTGACATGAGCTAGATTTTAGCATTCCAGAGACCACCGCTGCAGTGAGTTGTCCTGCTGAGTGAGCTTGGTCCAGCTCAGATCTGGAAGGAGCATTTCTCTCCTGAAAGCTCAGTGCATATGTCTGAATGTAGCATAGATGTGTGTGTGTGAACAGATCCCGTGGCTCTGTCCCTGAATTCAAGCCTGTGCATGTCCCCCAAGATACATTGTCACAGGTGCATGCCCTTCGTTAGCACAGGAGTGACCAGCTACTGTCAAATGTGGGGCCAGGCTCAGATGCAGGCGTTCAGCCCTGTATTCTCTGGGTGAGAATCAGTTGAACAATAAGTGGGCTTGTAGCGCTTGGCATGGGGTACGTCATATTGTAGTTCTTCAAATGAATTACCTCTCTGTGTCTCTTGTCTTTGTATTTATAGATGTTATATACATTTGTGTGTATGTGTGTGAGAGAGTCTATGTTTATATTTATTATATTT